ATGCACAATATACCATTTTCTAGAATATTGTAAAATCTCTTTGGGTCACATTCTATGATAGTAAAGAACCTTGTCCTCATCTGTTTAAATTTAAGAACTTTTAAACATATTCCTACAAACATATTTTGTTGTTTTATCACTTCGATAAGGTTTTCATTATCGACCATTTGTTCAATGCCCACAACTTTCAATTTAGGATTTTGGCGATTACTTACAACTCTTGCACTGTATGGACTGCCCAGTTGCTTGTTGACTACATCGCTTATCTTTTGGACTCCATTTTTATCTGCACACGAGATTTTCAGGGTACCATTATCAGCTTGCCTAACTCCGGTTACCTTCACATTTAACTCTGCGGGCATTAAAATTTTCAAAACGCCGTTTTTCGTTTGTAGAGCTTGCTGTATCTCTTTAGGTTTGATAATAACGCTGTTTGAGTTTTCGTTTTTCACCATTGAACTGTACTATGGTCTCACTTTGTTTGTTTCGTTAGTTGTAATATTAGTATCAACTTGTTCTACTGATTTGACCGTTTGAGTTGTTTCGCCACACTTTTTGATTATTATTTCAATTTTCTCGTAGAGTAAGTCAATTTTTTCATATAATTCATTAACTATAATATCTTTTGCTTCAATTACTTCATCTTCTTTAATTAACACTTTTATCAATATTATATACTTGGCTATTTTCTGGTACTACGTCGATACACTATAGACTCTTCTTGTGTGATTTGTCACTTTCTTGACACAAATTCCAAAAATGTCAAAAATATCGGCCAAGATGGTTGCAGATTCTAATACAGCACCAAACACTATCACCAACAAGTTCACGAGCACCTTATCTTCTTTCCTCCAGCTGGGCACCTTCGTTGTTAAAAGCCTTTATCTTTTTCTCAGAATTCACAGGTATTTATTCTAATTGTAGTTAGCATACAGTAAGCAGTTGTCAGAAGACAGTATGTGTGACTGACATTGACATGACGTTGCACGAATTTCATAATGTATTTGAAAGTTGATAAATAGCTGGTCATGAAAACAATACCTTGTTTATACTACCTTCGCTATAACAGACGGTCAAACTTGAAGTTTGTGGTAAAAAATTTGTTATATTGTGTTTTCCGTCAACATTTTGGGTGTTTTAGGCCATTTTCAAACAAAACCATGTTACCCTGCAACAGCAGGGTTTGAAAGGGGTATAATTATGAAAAATTCCTCAAATGCCAGTCAATCTTCAGTTATTTATTGCTTGCTCAAGAACCTGGCGGAAGGCTGGTATGACACGGCTTTCCACACCTGCCACAGCGTCTACAGAAGTGCATCGACTGGAATGGAAATTATGTAGAAAAAGATGCTCTGTAATGGTGTATGAATTATTGGTAACAAATGTTTTATGACGATTTAAAACATATATGCAACCCTACATTTAAAGTTACTCACATATATTATAGGTATACATACAGATTCTTTAAGGCATACCACCGGTGTGCCAATATTCATACTCAATATTCGCACAAAGTTATCAGAATAAGATATTGTTGCTCAGAATTCGTAGCGTACGTATTGTTCTATTATAATAAATAACTTCAGATGCTTAGCATACGGCTCTACAGTTGTTTTCAGTCTTTTTGAGCATGAGTGTCTAAAGCAGTGTCACTATATATTCATGGAATTCAAGAATAATTTAAAATGTGCGAATACCAGCAGGGAGACAAAAAAATAAGGGCTAACTTTATTTTTGTCGAGCAGTTGGGTAATGAGACTCAAATGGAATTTATTAAAGTATACAAGCACTCGAGTGTGGTGTTATGTTTGATGCCCTTGTTTTTATCTCCTGCGCCACTCTGGTTATAATTCGTTTCAGCTAGTGGATTTTTTTATAAACTTGATATATTATCAATCACTTTAACCCAATCACGAACCACCCACGGCATCAAATTAATAAATGCATATTTTTCCAAGCTAATCAAAACGAATTCATTACAACAACGTAACGGACAAATCAAATATATTTAGTTATTAATAATTGCATGCGACCACTTCAGTTTTGATTGATATTAAAATAATTGAAGCTAACTAGAAATTATTTACCTATGAAAATGCAAACTTGATTTAAAATAACTGGAAAATTGAATTTAGCTTTTGTTGTTTAGTTGACCCAGGACCGGATTTTAGCTCTCCATTACACCCAATTATAGCGAAAGGTAGGTTAGACGTGTAGTTTGTTTTTGTTTATAGATAGATTCTACTCATATTCAAAATACTTATGCTATTTTAGCATATGCGCGATTGTATATTAAAGTGGTCCATAGGACCTTTGCCTTCGTGTAAGAGTACGTAGATCAGTTTGTTATTCTGTCGGCTTGGTCACCCAGGAGCCAGACAAGATTAAATAATAGAAAGAAGCAGAAGAAGTAAAAATAGTGAAAAAAGAGGAAAAGCAAGTAGTAGGAAATACATCTAACAGCACAGGCATCTGAGCATTGCTCGAAATTACTGTAATAATTTCGAATGCGAAAAAAGAATTTGGTTGGATTTTTGCTTAAATATTATGCTATTATTACCTATATACGAGTACAATCATAACCTCATGACTTCTGGTGCGGATATTCATAATAAAAGAATGATTTTTCGGCAATCATCGACGAGTCAGGTTATTTCCCTTTCCACTTCTCACAGAAATTCATTACGCGCGTGGCGCGACCCCCTTTCGTGCAAATAATACAAAAATTCTACGAACTAATTAAAAGCGTATCAAGATTTTTGCGATCGGCTGCTTCCCCGCCTAGCATCCTCGCGTAATTGTGGAAATAATTTATGGCAGTCATAAATATACATTCAAATTAAGTTTTGATTTTGAGAATAAATTGCTCGATTGGTAGTTGTTGGTCCTCCTACGATTCGAAGATTATCGGTCCATATGATTTGGCGCTTGCGGGCGAAGTTGATAAATGTTAAACTGTCTTCGAAGATTCTTATATCCAAGGTATTTCAGGAAGATATGTCAATATTTCTAGGGTAGAAGGTACACCCAAAAATAACAAAAAACGGTTTCATAGATGCTGCTCTACCGAAATACGGTGTGATAAAGTTTTATTTATGACATTTAAGGAAAATTATATCTATTTACCACAAAATATCTTTAAAAACGTTTTATTATTGAAGATACTTTCTACCCTAGAAGTATTGGCACGCCATTCTAAAGAACCTTGTATGTTAAATACAATGCGAGATGTGCGGAATTAGTTCAAATTGGCAAAGACTTTTGAGATGCAAACAAACTTGAAGCCTCTTACTTCCCACGCCTGCTAGCAAGGAAGTATTGTAATCGCGAAAATATTCGAAAATGAGATATTACGTTTCTGGGTGTAACGCATCAAATGACATGTTCTTCATCATGAAAAACGATGTAACTCATTTTCGTCGGTGTGTCTGTCCGGTAATCCTTGTCCCGTCTATAACTCGGAAAGAACTGCTTGGCTTGGATGGAATTTTTACACAAGATCAAAAATGCTTTGTACTTTTCGATAATCGGCCAAGAAAGGGGAAAAAAATTGAATCCTTCAAACTACGTTTTTCGATGTTTCAAATGATCTTGACGATTTTTGAAAAAGTTCTAGGGCTGACGAATTAGAGGGGTATATCCCAATTTGCTGATCTCAGGATATTTATATGCTCTCAGCGACGGTGATCATACGCACCTATTAGACATATTTCACACATCATAGATTTCCCCCTGTTCATTTGCCGTTAACAGCCTTCGAAATGTGTCTGCTTCTGCTCTCGGCGGCATGCCGGTCATGTTATAACCGGGAGAGGCGACGTTGCCAGTCTGACTATCCGTAGGGTAGGGAAAACATGTATGTGGACTAATTGTATGGACCTGTCTGACTGACTTGGTTTCCCTATTATACATGTTTGTAATTACCTTTTTCTCACAGGATCTATCTTGTGCTGAACATAATCGTCTATGAACTCATGACGACGTCGCGTAAGGAGTGCAGAGTTAACCGACTAGACGCCATTTTTAATATAAGACTTGATCACAGACCTTTGCTTTTTCGAATATTTGGCAGATAGATAATATGACTGAATTTAGAACCGTTCATTATTAATTTCAAAAAGAGTATCCAAGTGTCACTAAGATTATGTGGCTTACATTTTAAAAATTTCCATTTGCAAATATCTGCAGACGCACCAGTGAGTTCCAAATTGATATATGACCTGAACTTTCTTCGAAATGATTCCTAGAGATCAATTTATCAATCAAGTGAGACAGGAAGAGAAGAAAATAGAGAAAATCCATTTTCTTTTCCATGATGATGTCAAAATGTTACTAAAACAAGTAACTGTTGATTGTTTATTGGTGTGTTTCATTTGATTTATCTCTTACTTTACTTTTTATTTGCATTTGCTGACTTTACTTAGATACTATTCATAAACATTTCAATAAACCAAAAATCTCCACATCGAAACAAAATTGAAAGAATTAAAGCATTTATTTTTTTTGTCAGGGCATCGGCTAGTCAAGTCCTGTCGGATGTCCTTGGATAGTGTTTTGTTCGGGTTCAACAGTGAACTGTCCTGATTCTGCGCCATCAATTCTCGATGTTTCAAGTCGCATTGCGATTTGCTACTGGTACTTGAAAATGGTCCTAACCCTTTAAAATCCCAAATGAAGTTGGAGGTATGGGTACTGCGATATCCGTCATGAGCAATTTCGATTTTGCTGCCGTTGTCGAGCATGGATCCGTGATAAATTAATCTTTCCTCTTCCTGCATCCTACAGAGGTCGCGCCATATTTTCTAACACCGGAGGTGACACCGGACTGGGAGTCCGCCCTTGGTGAAAAAACATGTTCACGGAAATTTAAGTCAGTTAGTGGACTTTAACTATTAAGCAAACTAGAAAATTTAGATTAAACGCATTTTATTTACATGAAACGATATAAAATTATTTAACAAAGGTAAGTTTATAAAGTATAAAAACGAATTTATATTCATTTACAAGAAAATGCTAACTATGAAATATCTTGAAAGTAAATCAAAGCTGGTTCTTTCGTATTTGTCAAAACCCTTATCCAGACAGTTACTGCACAAATATTTAGAATGTTCCAAACAAACATAAGCCTTACAGTTTACACAAAACTGTCGAGTTGGCCGATTTCTTGGAGGTACGCGCTTTCTCGATTTCGTGACGTCCATACCGATGAAATAAGGACTTGTGTCTGCCAGCTCGAAGGATTGATTCAAATTTATTTTTGTATCTGAAATTTCTTGCTCTGTATCTGAATCTTGACTAAACACACTTATGTTATCTTCGTCCTCTTTCCTTTCATCATCAAATTCTTCTTCTGAATCCCACGATTGCAAGCATCCTTCCATCAGCTTCTCTAAGCGCGCCTGTTCTTTTTCATATTCACCCATTCCACAAAATCAAACCAAATTAATTAAATACATGCAAAATAATATAAATTTTACTTTACCAGTATGAAATTTTCTTCTTCTTCAAGTATAACACAAGATCTCGTTCGGGACTCTAAGTCCGCAATTACAATTTATTGAGAAACGGCTGATATGGCTTACGAGAGTTAAAGTAATGTATACGAAAGGTACATATACTAAGTGACATATAAATCCGAACACCCAGTTTAAATGGTTTTATTTTAATAAAATTTTGTATAAGTACTTAATGAAGCATAATAAGTAAATGATATGGGGTGGACGATTCCTTTTTTGCAAGCGCATATGCTGTTTTCTGACCTGAATATCCTCTCACTAAATCTAAGGTGTGTCATTATATTCCATCAGTCCCGTTAGTTCCCGATCGTCTTGCGGTATCATCTTTCAAGAATCATGGTTAACTACAGCTAATGAAATCCCTGTTTTAAACTTTACTTCAAACTATAGCAAACAGACTAACCAGGTCGGTTTGTTCTTTCAGTACCTCCTTTGCTCTCAAAATTATCACTCATGGTCAGCTGAATCATATTCTTTGTTTCGGAACCTATGTCCAAGTATGTTGCTTTATACAGGGTGACTTTGAAGTTGAGTCATTAATTTTCAGATAATGATTGTAGAAGGACGATAAACCAAAATATGTGTGTAAAAATAAAAAAAAATTAAAAAAAATGTTACCTTGTTTTATAAAGTATCCTCCCGACAAGTATTTCAGTGCGGACCTGTATTTGATCGTGGGGTCTTGGAGCACCGGCATGCCCTCCCCTGTGAGGTCTTAAGTCACCTGATTCACGAGCCCTTTGTACTACATTCAGCATTTTCGTAAACATGTGCCATTTTTTATTTCGTTTGAGCCTCGCAACAAACACCACTATTCACTCACGCGTTACCGACTGACACATCGACTGAATACAACTGAATAAAATTGTACATTGTAGTAAAAACATCGTTTCAAATTCTTTCGCTTTTTTGTTTCCGATGCGATGAACGGATAAGGCGGATTATATCCGTTGTTGCCGAACACGAGCACATAATATTATTATTGAGACAGGGCGGTACTCAAACTTCTAAAGGGCTATAACTTTGTTACTTTAATTTTACCAGAAAAATGTTAAAGGAAAAAAAACATTTCTTTTGATCAGATCTACTCACTGTTAAAATAAATGGCTCAACTTCGAAGTCACCCTGTATACTACGTAATTTTATTAAGGCTAAAGGTTCTAGACCTGTTGTTTTGCTCGAAACGAAATTAGTTTACGGAAGTTTTCAATAATCTCAAAATCCACAAAAACACAGCCTCCTGATGAGAACAATATTCACTGTCCAGGGTTCCAACCTATAAAGGGTTCATATTCATTGTAGATGTTACCTCTGCATAATAACGTTTGTTTCAACATTTCTTGTTGGCAGATGCATGTGCAGTCTTGACCCTGTTGTAAGAAAAAGAAACAAATCAACTGCCTGGAAACCAAAGAAGTGGCCAACAGTTTCCAATGTCTCAATAATCATCGCTGTCAGATATGGCACTTGGCAACACAGCTGATTTTGGCATAGCTTCATAACTTAATCCCAGCGTGTACGGAATACGATCTCCAGCTGTTTTGTTATTAACATATTTTTATTAATACATGTACGCTGTAACTTATGTTCTTTTAACAAGGGCGTTACAGGTAATTCTTCAACGAGAAATTTTACCTTGATTAAGTGTTGCACGGAAATACTTGGCAAAAGTGTGACTCCAGAAAGCATTTAAGGTTTGGGTTGCCGAGGAGTAGCTCTTTAAACTTTTTAATTTTGGAGCGCCTTTAAACGAGTACTCTACATGTACTGTCTAACATCACCACGTATATGACTATTGAACATTTCATGCATAAGAAGACCTAGCTTCTTGAATCGGAAGGGATTAAGCTATATCTTGCGTTCAAAGTTGGTCGTATCACCGAGTATCAACAGTAGTCGAATGTTTGCAAGCGCAATTTCATACCCAGTGGAGCGGCAAGCAACAAAACTATTAATCCAATAAAACAATTGATATATTTTTACAAATCACTGAACTGCTATGAAATTATTGACGGTATATTGCCGAAGTGTAGCATGGAACGCTGTTTTGTTCTATGATACCGTCCACTTTGAGGTGATTTAGCACCGCCTGTTACAAGTTCGTGCTCGGAATATGATTCTGTTCTCAAATGATTCTTGACTACCTCTTTAATACTATTTTCAATAATTTTTTGTACGGATAGACTGAGAGGTTGAAGTCAAGCGCGTCTATTTGGCGGCGGCATCATGGAGCACATCTGTGAGGAGCAAAGCCCATTGGAGACCTAGATCGCCGACAACGCGCCAGTGCGAAAGAGTCCCGAGACTGTCCGTCGATCATCGTCGAACATGGTAAATGTAGTTGGGGCAGCAATTCCCCAAACATGTGACCAATACTCGAGGCTAGGCCTTGTACAGGGTGAGTATGTCATGTGGAGAAAGGTACTTCTTAGCCCTGAACGAATAGCATTTGCTTTTTTTTATTGATGAGATGTGTTCATTCTAAAGGACTTACGTGGACTGCTCGAAACAGCCTCTGTTTAGTGTCATATTACTCCCTGTTTGTACTTACCATTAATATTGATGATATTATAACAAGGGTCAGCTCATTTTTAACGAAATCAACGAGTCGCCGTCATTAATCCGTCTTAATTTTAGTCAGTTCTAATTATAAAGCGAGAAAGCTCGTCACGTTGGGCTCATTTAGAAATCTGTAACGGCGTTCAGTAATCTGCCTTAATCAAACTCGGCTATAAAATTAACAGGCACTGATGCGTCTTTAACCGTGAGGAGCAACGAAGCTTCGTCAGCTTTAAAATCTAACATAATTTAAAAAGTGTTTACGTAATGCTGCTTCTATGTGATCTACATTATGGTTATTTTAGTTTTGTAGTAGCTTTTAACAAGGCTGACGTAAGTGCAGAGATAACGAAGAAGATGGGGGCATGAGAAACTCAGACCGAGCGCTGGATAGAATTGAACCTGAAAAATGTGAGGACCGCAGTTTATGAACATATAATAACTGAGAGGTCAAGGAAGAATAATAATCCGGATCTTACCAGACCACTTTTGATCCATTTTTTACCCTCCTCCCCCCCCTAATTCTTAAGAATTGAGGAAATTGTTGGAGTTAAAAACTATTCGTTGTTAAATAAAAAATGGAAGAAATGAATGCCGTAGAGATACATCTTTATCCTTTTTATTCTGAAAATCATTATACATTTGCACAAAGAAGTTCAAATTAATCCTGATTTTTTTACAGCTACATGACAGTATCTTACCACTAGATATACATTTGCAATGTTAAATTACCGACTTCGGTGAAGATGACTTTATGATTCGCCGTAGAAGTAAATAACGATTGTGCTCTTTATATATATATAAGCAGTAATTACTCAGTTCTAATTATTTCCTATGAGCATTTTTCCAAATAAAACAAAGCTAAAACGTTCATATTTTTGCCAAAGCATGTTTTAAATATAGTTATTATGGTGCCAAGTTGAAAAAATCATTTTTCTGGGTGTAACACTTCTAATGTCTCAGTGAGCCATATTCATAAAAGAGAAGCATATCGTCGGAAGCATGAGGTAAAAGTGTAAGGCCTTGCTTCGGAGAAAAAGGTCGAAGTATAAACATATCCTTGTTTCCATATTCATAATGATTACCTTATACTCGCGAGGATATCCTTCAAAAAGAAGTAAAAGGTTGACTGGTATTTGTATCTGGAGCAACATGTCCTGACTTGTTCCAGCTTGTAGTAGACGTGGGAGTTCGTTGACTCAGCATCACCGACAGCTGTACTCCAGAGCTTACAGGTCATACTCAAGTGATGAGGAAACTATAGAAAATAATGGCAACGACCTGCAGTTCATCGCAGATGAAATTGCCATTGCTCCCATTATGCAAAAGCCACAAGTTCCAAAAATAAAAATGAGAAATGACGATGCCTTGAAGAAGATGTTGAGAAAATACGAATCAACATTCGGTAAACCATTAGATACTTAAGGCTTATTAAAAAAAATCAACAACATGAAATCGAGATTGAAGAAAAAAACTGGTAATAAAGCAATTAAATTGTTGATTGGGAAAGAAAGTTGCTGAACGCTATGGAAGGTGACTGTAATCCTACAATTGGGAAAATTAGAGGGGCCATTCAGGTTGGTACTGTTCAAGAAGAAGGAGATGAACTATATACCGAGCACAGGAAGCAAACAGTTAGTATTACAGCGACAGCAATTCAGAAGACATTGCGTCCAAAAGGAAAATTAGCAAAAGAGAAATACGAAACTGAGGAAACCAAAGGGTTAACTACAAAAGAACTGCAACGTCTAGTACTATTGCAGCTGTACCAAACAAGTATTTTACAACAAGAGTATTATAAAACGAAATTAGAAATCATGCAGCGTCAGAAGCCACCTGTAGCTGATGATGTTCACGAGAATAAAACTTATAACCTATAAATACACTTTAGTTACAAAAACTATTTATTACAATACTCAAGTTTCTTCTTATTTGTTGACCTAGTTGGCGGAGATGAAGTTCGTCATTCCCATGACTTCCTTCATCTGCATCTGGGTCTTGTTCAACTAACTCAATGTCAGGGTCGCCCAAGCTCTTCGCAACATTATGAAGTACAATACAAGCAATAATTTTTTTCGGCACATTTTCCAACTTTTCGCGGCAAGCATACTGCATGATAGGAAACTGGCATTTCAATTGGCCGAAAGAGCGTTCAATTATAACTCTTTCTTGTTTTAAAAGCTTATTATAATTTATTTCTGCAGCTGGAGTAGGATTTCTGAAGGGAGTCATAAGGCATGGCTCAATACCATAACCGTCATCGCCAAGTAGTACAACATTTGCTTTATTTATTAGTTGTGATCTAGTCTGTGAATTTCTCCATATTCTGTAATCATGCACTGATCCAG